TCCCCCTCCAGTACACACCCCCGCCCCCTAGTAAAACACTCCCCTTACACAGCAAATTCTAAAAATGTTAACCCCTTCCTCCCCAGTGACATTAGTACAGTTTCAGTGTTTTTTTTTCACTGATCACTGTATTGGTGTCACTGGGGATGTCAGTGACCCCAAGTCAGTTCCCCCCCCCCAGTGTCAAAATGTCCGCCGCAGTCCCGCCATAAGTTGCTGGTCGCCGCCATATGTCGCTGATTGCCACCAAAAGTCGCTGATCGGCGCCATTATTAGTGTAAATAAAAATAAAAATTTTCAGTATCTTTCCCGCCATTTGTAGATGCTATAACTTTCACGTAAACCAATTAATTTACACGTATTGGTTTTTTTTTTTTTTAGCAAAGACGTCGCAGAATGCATTTTGGCAGAAATTTATGACTAAATTTGATTTTTAGATTTTTTTTTTACTGGACATGTTTTATAGCAAAAAGTCCAAAATTTTGTTTTTTTTTCCTCAAAATTGTCAGCCTTTTTTTTTATAGCGCAAAAAATAAAAACCGCACAGGTGATAAAATACCACCAAAAGAAAGCTCAATTTGTGGGGAAAAAAAGAATGTAAATTTCATTTATGTACCGTATTGCATGACCGCGCAATTGTCTGTTAAACTAGCGCTGTATAGCAGAAAAATGGCGTAAATTGCAGTATCTATACCATAGTTTGTAGACGCTATAACTTCCACACAAAGCAATCAATATACACTTATTGGGATTTTTTTTTTTACCAAAAACATGGAGCAGAATACATTTTGGCCTAAATTTTATAACCAACTTTGAGTTTACTATATATTTTTCATAGCTGAAAGTAAAAAATATTGTTTTTCTTCAAAATTTTTGGCCTTTTTTTGTTTATAGCGTGAAAAATAAAAAGCGCACAGGTGATCAAATTACACCGAAAGAAAGCTCTATTTGTGCGAAAAAAAGGACGTAAATTTCATTTGGGGTGCAGCATTGCATGACCGCGCAATTATCAGTTGAATTTGTGCAGCGCCAAGTAGCAAAAAGAGGCGTGGTCATTAAGGGGGGTAAATCCTCAGGAGGTCAAGTGGTTAATGATCATTCACACCTCAAATTCCTCATGAAGACCCCCTGCCAGGTGGCCTTAATGACTCCCTCCACCAGACACCTTTCCCACCCTTGGAAACAAAAGAAATGTTAATGAGCAACTCACACCTAAGCTAATCTCAACACATACTGCTCTCTCTGCTTCTACTCTCTGTATTTCTCTGAAACAATCTGAAATAGTTAATAATTTACCACTTTTCAGTGCATTTTGGGAATTTGGGAGGTTCTCCTGTGCTTATCTTTAAAAAACGCTTCTAAACGCAAACGCACATAAAGGCGTTATGCAAACGTGGCTAAACAGACTTTTTTTAACCTACTTTTTCCAGCAGTCAGTTTCCATCGTTCAGAAGTGTCCCGTATACATGGGGACTTACACTGATAATCAGGGCACTGACCATCAGTGCAGCCCCATCAGCGCTGCCTATCAGTGTCTCCTCATCCGTGCCCATCAGTGCAGCCCCATCAGCGCTGCCTATCAGTGTCTCCTCATCCGTGCCCATCAGTGCATCCCCATCAGGGCACATCCGTGAAGGACAAAATTAGTTATTTGCTAAATTTTATAATAGAAACAAAGCAAAATTGTTTTTTTTTTTCATTCGTTTTGCAAAAAGTAAAAAAACCCAGTGGTGGTTAAATACCACAAAAAGAAAGCTCTATCTGTCTCAGAAAAATGATAAAAATTTCATATGGGTGCAGTGTTGCATGACCGCGCAATAGTCATTCAAAATATGAGAGCACTGAAAACTAAAAAACTGGCCTGTGCAGGAAGGGAGTGAGCCCTGGTTCAAACTGATGCGGTGCGGAATTCAGAATTCCGCACTGCATCAGAATTGCACCCTGTTCATGCGAAACGCTGCTGGTGTGAATGTTAACAACACCCGAAAGCAGTCCGCAAAATGCGGTGCGATGTGCAGAATCGGATCACATAGGTGTGAATATCTATGCGATCCGATTCTAGTACGGACCCAAAAAAGGGTCCTGCACGTTTTTGGTGCGGGTGCCATTAGAGCCATACAAAATGTACGACTTCGATCGCACTGCACACAAATCGCATGTAATTTGCTCAGGAATGCAATGTGGTTCCTGTGTGATTCACATGCGACATACCGCACATATGTGAACCCGGGTTTAAAGTGTCCAGTATTGAAGTGGTTAGCGAATACAATGCAAAGTGCGAATACCAACATTTTTGGGTCTTGAAGGTGATAAAATGCAGATTGTGACCGTGTTCTTTTGTGCATGCCACCCCCTTGACCAGGGGGTCCTGTAGCCACTTACATGCTAATGCAATGTGCTTGTGTGTCATCATACATGGGGCACAAATCTTAATTGGTGAAATGGCCTTTTCTTCATATCAATGAAGAAAATGCCAGTTAATTAGTTTGTGTGTGGGATGGTTGGACTTTTTGTTAAAATATTACTTTTTTTTTTTTCTTTTTTAGCTTGTATCTGTTTTGAAAAATTTACCTGACTGTTTAAGCTTCACTAAAGAGCAACCAAAAGAAGGTGTAACGTTTGGTAAGTATTTTCTTTTTACTCTGAGAAGAACCACAAAAAGACTATTTCTTTCCCGGATGGTTATAATGAAGTCTTACATTTAACAATCAGAAAGGACGTTGTAGGATGAACAGCAGAGGACGTGTATTTCGGCATTATGGTTTGCTGATATTATAAATATTAAAATTTTCCAGTGTCAGTGAAAAAAATACAGTTGTGTTCAAAATACTAGCAGTCAGACATCACTAACCGGATCAATCACTGTTTTGGATAGAAATGATATTTCTACATGGCAAATAATTTCCTAGCAGGTGTAGTAGAGTCATAGAAATCCAACAGACCCAACAGTCATGACATGCATGCTGCTGATTCTGTGTCATTGAATCACTCATTGAAAGGGGCGTGTTCAAAATAATAGCAGTGTGGAGTTCTATTAGTGAGGTCATTCATTCTTTGAAAAACAGGTGGCAATTCTTGCCCTTATTTAAGGAAGGAAGGCAGCAAATGTTGTACATGCTGGTTACAGTGCATTTCTCTCTGAATTTCTGAGGAAAATGGGTCGTTCCAGACATTGTTCAGAAGAACAGCGTACCTTGATTAAAAAGTTGATTGGAGAGGGGAAAACATATAAAGAAGTGCAGAAAATGATCGGCTGCTCAGCTAAAATGATCGCAAATGCTTTAAAATGGCAACCAAAACCTGAAAGACGTCGAAGAAAGGGAAAAACTACCATTGGAATGGATAGAAGAATAGCCAAAATGGCGCGGACTCAGCCAACAATCAGCTCCAGGAAGATGAAAGAAGGTGTGACGTTCCCTGTGAGGACTGTTACAATTAGAAGACGCCTATGTGAAGCCAAGCTATCTGCAAGAAGTCCCACAAAGTCCCACTGTTGGGAAAAAGACATGTGCTGAAGAGGTTACAATCTGCCAAAGAGCACATTGACTGGCCTAAAGAGAAATGGGGCAACATTTTGTGGACTGATGAAAGTAAGATTGTTCTTTTTGGGTCTAGTGGGCGGAGACAGTTTGTCAGACGACCCCCAAACTCTGAATTCAAGCCACAGTACACTGTGAAGACAGTGAAGCATGGTGGTGCAAGCATCATGATATGGGGATGTTTCTCATACTACGGTGTTGGGCCTATTTATCGCATACCAGGGATCATGGATCAGTTTGAATACATCAGAATACTTGAAGAGGTCATGCTGCCTTATGCTGAAGAGGAAATGCCCTTGAAATGGGTGTTCCAACAAGACAACGACCCCAAACACACCAGTAAACGTGCAACATCTTGGTTCCAGACCAACAAGATGGACGTTATGGAGTGGCCAGCCCAATCCCCGGATCTTCAATCCAATAGAAAACTTGTGGGGTGACATCAAAAATGCCGTTTCTGAGGCAAAACCAAGAAATAGAGAAGAACTGTGGAATGTGGTCCAATCATCCTGGGCTGGAATACCTGATCACAGGGGCCAGAAGTTGGGTGACTCCATGCAACACAGATGTACAGCAGTTCTCAGAAACAGTGCGACTACAACCAAATATTCATGAAGTCATTCAAAGGAAAGCAAAATCTTCAAACATTTCTCAGTTTATATAGTGAATGTTTGAGTTTGTAAAGAAAGATTACAAACACTACGATTTTTTTTTTTTTTTTGAACAGTCTAATCACTTTTCTTCAATTTTTTTAGAGGAACAACACAAATTTGATCTATTTTTCTTCAAATCAAAGAAACTCAAAATAGTGAACAACACGTGAAATGGTGAAACACTCTGTGTACACTCCTATATACACATATGTGAACACTATAGGAGTGTACACAGAGTGTTTCACGATTTCACGTGTTGTTCACTATTTTGAGTTTCTTTGATTTACACGTTTTATAAATATTTTTGTGGATTATATTTAAATAAGTCACTATAAATTGAGGATAATGCACTATTTGGTTTTCTTTTCCTTTGGAGGTATACACTTTTTTGGAAATACACGGGGATGATGAAGCGGAATTTGGAGGGAATAATTGTTTGAAATCTTGGACTTTTTTACACAAGTATATAATTTTTTCACTGACACTGGAAAGGTTTATTATTTATGGTTTTGGACTTTCAAGGGTGAAAGTGGGACTTTTGAAGTGTCAAATAGGGTGTTATATCACAATTTATTTTGGATACCGAATTTATATCACGGTTTGCTGATATTATCGCAGTGTATATCGTTCACTAGAGTTACACTTTCTTACATTGTCTGAGAGCTGCAAATTTATCTGCAACCCAAAAAATTACAAAGATATGGAAAAGGATCTAATGTTGCTGCTGCATGTGTTGATTTTCTTTTCAGCCCCCAAGATCTCTGCTGCACTTAGTTGTGTCAGATGGGAGGAGCAAACTCCAGAAGAAATGATGCGTCTGGAACGTGCTGTTGGATTTGCGGTAATCCGTTTACAGCTACTTACGAAATATCTTAAAACTGTTCGATGTTCCATTTTTTTTACATATTCATCTTCGTACAAGATGGCTTTACAGTAACTTGATTTCAGATATACAGCAAGGTTTGATAAATCCCAGGCGCCAGGTTTCCATGGCGACTAGAAATTACAGGCTGGCTTCTTTACAGGCCGTCTGCTTTCAGGCATCGGGACACCGCTCACTGATCCAGAGATTTGGCCCCCTCACCAGTGTACACCCCACACAGCTCTCTCAGGTAATGCGCTCCGATCGATAGTTTGGCAGAGCATGCTGACAGCGCCCCCACCGCGCTGCATCTCCAGCTGTACCACATGGAACTGCACAGACCACTGGCTGACTTCAGCTTCCTGAAACATGGGCTGGAGGAGGGGACATCAGTCATGTGACTGCCAAGGCCATGTGACCTCCTGCTCGAATTGAAATCGGAGTGTAGGAAAGTATGCAGGTCGGGATGGCTGAGGGAGAGAGGCTCTATAATGGTGCGTAGTGTCAGTTTGTTCACTCTTTTATTATTTGTTCTACCCCATTTCATCCCTAATTTATACACTCTGAATTCTTATGTGTTGTATTCTGAACATCCTTCCTACTGCAGTGTCTGATCCCCTCCCCCTTCCTGGTCAGATGTCTAAACCCCTTCTCCTTTTCTTTCTTCCATTCTCTTCTCCCCCCCCCCCTTTCTTTCTTCCATTCTCTTTCTTTCCCCCCTTTCATCTAACCTTTTCTCCTTTTCCTTTCCTCTTTCTTTTCCTTTCCTTTCTTTTCCTTTCCTTTCCTCTTTCTTTTCCTTTCCTTTCCTCTACTTTCCTTTCCTTTCCTCTCCTCTTTCTTTTCTTTTTCCTTCCTCTTTCTTTTCCTTTTTCCTCTCCTCTTTCTTTTCCTTTTTCCTCTCCTCTTTCTTTTCCTTTTCTCCTCCTCTTTCTTTTCCTTTTTCCTCCTCTTTCTTTTCCTTTTTCCTCTTTCTTTTCCTTTTTCCTCTTTCTTTTCCTTTTTCCTTTTTTTTCCTCTTTCTTTTCCTTTTTCCTCTTTCTTTTCCTTTCCTTTTTCCTCTTTCTTTTCCTTTCTCTTTCCTCTTTTTCCTTTTTTCCCTTTTTCCTTTTCTTTCTTTTCTTTTCCTTTTCCCTTTCCTCTTTCTTTTTCTTTTCCCTTTCATTTTCCTCTCTCTTTTCTCTCCTGTCTCTCTCTTTTTTTTCTCATGTGCCTTTTCTTTCTTTTTTCCTCGCAGTTCCAGGTGACGGACGGCTGATTTAAAAAAACTGGCTCCTAATTTTTTTTAGCTGGCTTCTAGATTCAAAGCAACTTTGTCAAGCCAGGATATGTATGCTTTTGGCTTTTTCTTTGACAAAGCGCATATTTTGTTGCCTTTCTACGAAGTGCAAGCCAAAGCTCAATTCCAGGCAGACATAAGAGACACCAAATTAATGTTGCTTGATATTCATTAACCACTTAAAGGATACGGTCACCTGTGGCCCACACGGCCGCGTCATTCATTCACAGAGTTCCGTGAATGAATGAACTGCAAGTCTCAACAGCCTTAGCAGCTGTCGCTTGTAGTTTTCAATGAACTATCGCAGCACTGTGGAGCTTGAAGCTTCCTGTCAGTATATCTGCTTGACCGTACATCCCTGTACGGCAAGCAGATATTCTGACAGGTCAGCCTGGCATTTGTGATCTATCAAGCAAGGGGAAGCCCTCAATCAGAATGGCAGCTGTGCCGCGCTCATCACAGCCCCTCCCACCAGAAGAGGGAATCGGTTCCTGCAAACGAGCGCTGGATCCTGTTCCAGCAGGCCACAAAGCAGTGGCCTCAATTACCAGACATCTCCACCGCTGCACCCGTGGGGGAGGGGTGCACACATGGAGAGACCGAGTCCAGATTACTGCTGCAATTTCCAGTCACCATGGCGACCTGGGATTTGTTGAGCCCTGGGGTAAAACCTTTCAGAGTGCAGGTGGTTAATGAATCATTAAAGCCCCACTATGTGATAAAACTAACTTTTAACCAACCCTCCCTCCCTCCCATCCCCTTCTAATCCATCCTGACAATCCTTTTTTTATTTTTTCTCTTTATGAACCCTTGCATTGTGAAACCAGTGTAACTCACCTACAGTATCTCCCAGAAGTGAGTCCACCCTCACATTTGTGTCAATATTTTATTCTTGTTCAAACAATTTTATTACCAATAAATCAGAGTGGGACAAACAAAGAGACATTGCTAATGTATGCTGGGCATTGAAGTGGCAATAGAACATGAAAAAAAAACCAATATGAATGAGGGTCATAGTACAATTGTCTATACATTACTAGCGGAAACAGGTAGGTAAAAGTTGACAACAAAAGACTTTATTGTTCCAGCCAATCAAAGTGATGTCTCCCAAATGCATTAAGGAAATAGGGGGAAGTTTGAAGGGGGGTCAGACAGGGGTGGGAGGGGGGGGGGGGGGGGAAGAGGAAGGAACAGCAACAATGACTCCATGAGCGTTCAGCAAGTGTACAATAACCCTTACGTATTGCGTACAAAGGGCCAATGACAATATCTTTAGCGCATAGTACACAAATCAGGGAGAAGGAGAGATTCGTCAAAATTAGGCGGGAGGAAGCGCTCTACCCAGGGGCTCCATATGCGCAAGAATTTAGGAATCGTGTTGAGAATTGTGGCTTCTTCCACCTTTGCATGTATCATGGCTTGCGTTATTCTGGTTTTGACGGCCGCGACACTTAGGGTGGCGGATTTCCAGGATTTCGCTATAACCTGTTTAGCCGCTGTCGTAACTTGCATGATGAGCTTAAATTGCGAATTGGAGATGCCAGGGGGGCATTGATTGAGTAGGGCGGTCATTGGGTTGGGTTGTAGGGTAATAGTGCTAAGTGTAGATAACATGGCGAAAATTTCATCCCAAAAGATTCGGGCTATTGGGCAGTCCCACCACATATGGTAATGTGTTCCTGGGTCTGTACAGCCTCTAAAACAGTTGGGCGAGTAATTAGGGGTGAATTTTGCGATTCTCACCGGGACCAAGTACTAGCGGGTTAAGACTTTATAATTCGTTTCCAATGCTATAATGTTCTGTGAGGATGATTTTGTGTTGGCCCAAATATGATGTGTACGGAATTAAATTAGCAGAGGACCAGGCTTTGAATAAAAGGGGTGTCTGCCAGGCTGGGGGAATCGAGGGGAAATCTGGGTTTCGCAGAGTGAACGAGAGCATAGGATTATGTGGACCGATTGGAGGAGATAGCGGGGGTTTTCAATTTGTCCCATAAGGATAGGAAGTGAGACGTGATGGGAGTTGGATATATTGTGCGACGGTTTGTCTATTGGTCTCAACCAGGAGCAAGTTGTAGCTGTGGATAAGGGGTCACATTCAATCGATAATGTCAAGCACAAACCCATTGAGGGATTTTCAAAGTTGCATGATTATTTTTGGTTGCAACTGGGGTAAATGCGGGTGCTAGTAAATATTTGGTAATTCGGGTAGGCCTAGACCCCACTGAATTTAGGGCGATAGAGGCCAGGTGGAGCGAGGTATTCCATGGGAAGCGCACACCCTTTTGCCCCAAACATAGGAAAAGATGCGGAACGCTGTAGCTGGCCACTTCAGAAACTGCGCTTCTTTGCCGTCCAGGTATGGAGGGGGGACTGGGGACTGGGAGGACTTGGTCGCAAAAACAGATATAGAATTTTTGGGAGGCGAGGATTGACATCTTAATAACTGCTTATTCCGCCTATTCTGGGGGAAGGGAAGACCCATTTTTTCAGTTTACAGTAAGGGCAGAAAGACAAAGACGTTTTAGCATCAGGCTTATCAAGTACATTTGATAATTCGCTACTCTGTGTAAGACAGTGGGGTCCTCTGGGTCTTCAATGCTTAGCCGTTTCATTTCAGTTTGACGGTCTTCCGCTGAAGAAAGGGATATGTCTTTGGCACTGTGACCAAGGGAATGGTAAAATCTGCTTTAGCAAGTGCGCCAATTCTATAGGGTGGAGAGTGTGAAATGTTGAGTGCTATTGATTTATTGGGTTTATTATTAGGCCCGAGAGCTCGCCAAACTTCTCGAGCCGGAGTAAGGAAGGCGAGGAAGTCAATGCCCCCCAGGAGATGTGAGGAGAGCAAGACGTCATCCGCAAAGAGACATAATTTATGATGTGTGCCCCCTATTTCGAGTCCCTTAACATCCGGGGAAGATTAGCTCTGATTAAGAGGGATAGGGGCTCTATAGCCAGGGCAAAGGAGGGTGGGAAAGAGCAGGGGGGACAGAGGACAGCCCTGTCTCGTGCCTCTGGAAATCGGGAACTGAGCTGACCTGTGCCCCAGATACCTAATTCTGGCTGAAGGCTCTCGATACAGCGAGAAGATCCAGGTTTAAGAAAGTGTGAGCCAAAACCCCAACGATGCAAAATATAGTTGAGGTATGGCCATGAGACGGTATGAAATGCTTTCCGGATATCTAGGGAGAGGAAACAGGCAGGAATATTACGAGACCTGGCTAAGTTTGCTAAAAGAGATGCACGCCTGATGTTATCTCCTGCTTGTCTAGTTGGGATAAAGCCCACTTGGTCGTTATGAATTAGAGAACCAATACACAAGTTAAGACGTGAAGAGAGGATTTTTGCTAACAGTTTGATTCATCAATGTTAAGGAGAGAGATTGGTCTATAATTGGACCACTGCGTGTCATCAGAATTCGGTGAAGCTTTGGGATCATTGAAATGTTCGCTTGCACTGTTTTCATGGTTGAAGGTGTGGCCAGATAGTTAAAGCGTTAAAAAGCATTAGTAAGGATGGGAGTGAGGAGGTGAGCAAATTTCCTATAATAAGGTAGCAGAGAAGCCATCCGGTCCTGGGGACGTTTCCGTAATTTTAGATTTTTAATAGTGTCTAGGATTTCGGCAGGGGAGATGGGTTGCTCAAGTGCCGCTAACTGGCACTCTGAGAGTTTCGGGAAGGAAATGAAGTGAGAAGGATATCAGCTTGTGCGGGGTCAAGGGTGTGGAAGAAGAGTAGAGCTGTGACAAGTGTTTATGGAAGGTCTGTAGAATTATGTTCTGGGTTATTAGTAAGGTTGCCAGAGGAGGTGCGAATCCAGATAGGTTTAGTGAGCTGGTCGAGCCTACGAAGTTGATGAGGGCGAGGAATGTATTGGGTTTATTCACCCTAGTATAATATTTATGTCTAGATCTACGAAGTGAGTTCAGCTTGATCTGTGAGAAAGAGATCTAGAGCCAATCTAGATCGCTCCAAGGCTTCACGATTGGCCGGCGTAGGAGCCGTCTTAAAGGTTTGATGGGAACGCTTATAGGTTTGCTCCAGTAAGAGACGTTGTTGCCTTTTGGTTTTATTTAAGAAGGATGCTTTGCTAATGCAGAACCCTCGCAATACCGGTTTTATGCGCTTCCCATAACAGGAGAGGGGATATATCGGGTGACTGGTTAAGAGTGAAATAATCTTTTACTGCTGCTTCGATTTCTCTTTGGACAGTGTGCTGGGTTTGCAAGCAGGTTATCATTAATGATCCAAGAGGATTCAGTGGGGATGCGGCTAACGAGGCCATAGCCGTGAATACGGCGCAATGGTCAGACCGGGGGATTGGAATTATTTCAGAGGTCAGAAGCCGAGAGGAAGAGGCGGTGGGTAATGAAAATATGGTCTATCCTGGAGAATGACTGGTGGGGATGAGAATAGAAGGTGTATTGGCGTTTAGTTGGGTTGAGTTCCCCGCCATGTGTCTATCAAAGAATAACGTTGTAGTATGGCTTGGAAGGTTTGTTTAGGGGCAGGGATGGGGGATGGTTGAGGAGATTTGTCGAGAAAAGGGATATATTACACTGTTAGAGTCTCCGCTAACAATTAAAGTTCCGCGCTTATGATGGTCTATAACCAATAGTAGGTGGGAGAGGAATGGTAAGGGGTCTTGGTTTGGGGGCATAGTATGCAACAATGGTAACATCCACATCTAGGAGTTGCCCTACTAACAGGAGGTAACAACCCTCCGGGTCTTTGCATTCGGTGCATAGCGTGAAAGGTGTTGTGCGGTGGAAGGCAATCAGTACCCCCCTGCGTTTGGTGGTGGCAGAGGCTGTATAGACCTGAGGATATTGAGGACCAAAAAACTTAGGAGTGGAGTTGGGAGTGAAGTGTGTTTCCTGTAGACAGACCACGTGAGCTTTAAGTGTAGCAAAAGGTTCGGAAAGCCTTATTCCGTTTCTGTGGAATATTGAGACCCTGTACATTCAGGGTAAGGATATTTAATGAGCCCATGGATAAAGTGCACAGTGGTTTGAATAGCAGGGCACTCCCACTCGGGATGTAGCCTGTCGATTACTGCAGGGGATGAGAGCATTACGGAGTGTGTTGCGCAAAGTCATGGAGTCATGTTGAAAGGAAGGAGGAGGGGTATGAGACAGGTAACAGGAAAGAAGGGGTGTAAAAGGCCATTAGTGGCCAAAGAGGTGGGTTCCCAAGGACACCTGAACAGGGTGGGACAGGGAACAATAGTAGCCCAAGTGTTAATAAATAACCAATAACACAGGGGCTAGGGTGGAGTGTGCAGGTACGCGGACCGCGGAGGATGACAGCAATGTAATTAACAAACGGTGGCAAGGTCCACAGGTGCATAAAAAGAACATTCAAGAAAATCAATGATCCTAGACTCAGACGGCATTAGTAGTGCTGGTAGGACCACATTGGCGCAGGGGGTTGTAGCATCCCATGTCGCCGAAGTCCAGGATCCCAAATATAAGCTATAATGTAGCACCGAAGGGGGGTGTAGAACAATCCCCAGGTAGTGGGGCAACCAAAATTCAACAGGTAGAGGGAGAAAGGATAACAGCGGTATTAACCGCCCTGATAACCAAACGAGTACACCGTATGGTGTGTACGACAAAAAAAAGGGGGGGAAAAGGGAAAAATAAATGTAGGAGTGTTCAGTCCATGGTATCTTGTGAGGTTAGTCCTGGAGACGAAAAACGCCCCCTCTTGTGAAAATTGAATTGACCTTCAGTTGCACATGCGGGGAGGGACTTCCGCGGCGAGCAGGATGTGGACCTCCGCTTGGTGCTTTCTGAAGGCGTCGTTGGGGGATGTAGTTGCAGGACCCGTAGGGTGTCTAAAAGATCCTCTGGAGTTTTGTAGGTGAAATCTCGGGACTGGTATCAGAATCGCACTGCTAAAGGGAAGCTCCACCTATATTGTATAGCGTGTTTGTTGAAGTACTTGTAGATGGGGTTTCATAGCCCTGCGCTTGGAGATTGTTGTGGGGCATAGATCTTGGAATAATTGGTAGGGATGACTTTGGAATTGTAGAGATTCCACGTTACAGGCAGCTTGTAGGAGTTGCTCCTTAGTACGGAAAAAATGGAGCTTGGCTATAATATCACGCGGTGGAGCATCCGCGCGTCGTGGCGCTAACGCTCTGTGAACTCTATCCAATTCCAATCTGTCGATTGGGATGGCTGGGGCAGGCTCTTGGAACAGAGCTGTTATCGTGGATTGGACATTGACGATCGTTTCTGGAAGGCCACGGATACGTAGGTTTGAGCGCCGCACTCGGTTTTCAAAGTCCTCCAGTCGTGTTAATAGTGTTGCGTTTTCGTCACGCAGAAGATCAAGGTCATCCGCGTGTGTCTGAAGCGAGGCGTCAAGACCATCTACCCTCTGTTCTAGGTCCGCTGTGCATTGTCCTAGTTCACGGATTTCCCTAGATAGCGTAGTAGTGATGCGGTCTGAGGTTTGCTTCAGAGCTTTGTGTAGCATTTTTTCAAAGCGTGATAATAGGTCAGGGGGTGTAAGGTCAGGCATCAGGGCTTGTGTAGGGACATCGGTTTCAGTGTCAGACTCACCCTCAGACCTGCAGGGATGGCTGGGCTGCGGGTCCTGCAGGGCTGCATATGCCCCTGCTGCTTGCTTGCTTCCACGTGTTGGGGCGGTGGCCATTTTGGTGGAGGCCTTTGCCAGTGCCTCTTTGATGGTTTTGGTTGATGGGGGGACCTGGTGCCGGGATGCCCCTTTAACCATTTTGCCGCTTGTCAGGGAGGGGGGGCTGTTATAATGAACTCAGCCCCCCCAGCTCTCTCCCTCTTCAGCCTGTGTGCAGTGGTGAGCTGTGTGCAGCAGTGGGCAGGCCTGTGCACAGCTCGCAGCGGGGATCGAGTCCTCAGTCAGAGTACTCTGACCTGGAGCGGAGGATCCGCCACAGACCCGGGCGGATCAGACTCCGGGATAGTTGCCTAGGGGATCGGATCCCCTTAGAGTGTATCGCGGGCCGGGACCCGCCGCTTCTGGGTGCCGTCACCCGATGGGAAAGCGGAGCCTCATCAAGACATGTCCGTCCCGCCGGCCGCGCATGCGCACTCCGTCGTGTCAATATGCCAGCGGTTTAGACATTAATGGCGGTGTGTTGAGTTATTTTGAGGGGACAGCAAATTTACATGTTATACAAGCTGTACACGGACTACGTCACATTGTAGCAAAGTGTCATTTCTTCAGTGTTGTCACATGAAACGTGACACATAGACGTCACATAGAATCAAATATTGACAAAAATGTGAGGGTGTACTCACTTCTGGGAGATACTGTATATTACATGATGTATAATTCTGCAAAATATAATTGGATTTCTGCTTTTCTGTAGATGCCACTACAAGCAGTATGGATGGGCACCCCTATTAAACTGATCGGTTTTATAGAAGTTCCAGATCCTTTAATCACTTCAGGTTTGTTGAATGAATAGTATTTGGTGTTAACGGCTGCAGTGTTTTTTCTCGGTAAACCTTTTCTTGTCAATTTTTTTATTTTAAATGTTTGATTTATCTTTCAGTAGTTCATTTTTGACGAAGTTGGTCCCCCAAAAAATGATTTGCTGCACTACTGCATGTGCTTTCTTTCAGCGCTGTATAAACAGTATGTATTATCAGCTACCTACAGAATACAGCGCTCTGTTCCAGCAGAGGTACGGGGACTTCCCATCCTGTTCCTGGAACAAAACTGTGCTGCTCTGCCTTTCACAGGAAGCTTTGTGAATGAATACAAGGCTTTTTCTGAATGGCTGAGGTGGAGGGTGTGATGTCCCCACTGCTTTTCCACCTCAGCCAATCAGAGCAAGCTTGGTATTAATAAAAATACAAGTCTTTCTCTAAATGGCTGAGACACGGCTGTCGAGTGGGGGGAACCAACAGTCCTCTTGTAGGGGGCCTGGGCACACAGGAGGGCCCGGACAGAGAGGAGGATCAGAGCGGGGAGGACAATTACAGGAACTATGCACGGTGTGTCTCTCCCTACAGCAGCTGAGAGCCAGGTTTCCCCCCTCTCCCTCCCACTGGCATTCAGCTGCTGGAAGGAGAGACACAGTGCATAGTTCCTGTAATTGTCCTCCCTGCCCTGATCCTCCTGTCTGGGTCCTAATGTGTGCCCAGGCCCCCTACAGGAGGACCGTTCGCCCCCCCACCCTGTAATTGTCCTCCCCCGCCTTGCTGCACCAATCATCCTACCCAGGGGTGGACGGACAACTCATGGGGCCCCCCGGGCAATAGGGGATCATGGGGCCCCTGTGTCCTTGCCCAAACTCAAAAAAGCCTATGAAAAAGGTAGCAGGGGCATCTCATAGGGCCCCCTACTGACCCTGGGCCCTCGGGCAGTGCCCGAGTTTCCAAATGGTCAGTCCGCCCCTGATCCTACCTATCCTGCCCACACCTGATCCCCTCCCTGTGTGCCCGGTCCCTGTCCTTCCCCCGGCAATACTGCCGTCTTTCCTTTCCTGCCGGATGCTGCAGGTACACAGGGGGACGAGCTGGGGAAAGGGCTGGTAAACCCACTATTGTATTCTCTGGTAGGGAACTGGTTAACCAGTGCAGTGCATGCTGAAATCAGTCATGTAGTTGGGCCTCAGTTAGGATTCTGGTTTCTTTTGGTTGCAGATTTTTCAAAAGTCCCTGGAGCTATTCGATATCTTTCTGGACCTGAGATCTTGGCAGTGCGATGCAAGGTGAGCTCTGATTGTATTTTATCTGCTTACAATTGGTAAACGTCTGCTTAGTAATTCCCTGTAATTACTGAATTATCACACCATAACAATTAATCAACATTTAGCCCGGGTTCACATATATGCGGTGCGGTATATCGCATGTGATTCGCACAGGAACCGCACCGTATTCCTATGCAAATCACATGTGATTTGTGTGCGGTCATACTTTTTGTATGGCTCTAATCGCACCGCACCCGCACCAAAAAACACGCAGGACCCTTTTTTTGGTCCGCAGTAGAATCGGAACGCACGGGTATTCACACCTATGCGATCTGATTCTGCACATCGCACTGTGTTTTGCAGACCGATTTCTGGGTGTTGTTAACATACACACCCGTAGCGGTTCGCATGAACGGGGTACGATTCTGATGAGGTGCGGAATTCGCATTGAAAACGCTGAACCGCATCAGTGTGAACCAGGGCTTAAGCCTTGTACACACGGGCCGAATGTAGGACGGGATCGAAGGGGCATGACTGAAAATGGTCTGCCAGTTGGCACCTGATCAGTGCTCTCCGCCAATGGCTAAGAGCACTGACCAGAGTGTTCTGGCGGGGCGGGAAGGGGGGGTGGGAAAAGTGCGCACGCGTCTCCCCTGTCAGAGTACAATAGCGCAGCGGGGGAGATGGCTATACTAACATCGGATAGTTAGCACAGCAGCTCCTTCTGAGCTCCTTTTTTTTCGTTCAGCTCGCTGGGGTTGAACCCGTTTAGACGTGTGTACTAGGCTTTACCTTACCCTTTCCAGTTGTTGGTTATGTGTTAGAGAAGACCCTGGTAGCTTGTGAGGCAGAACTCTGTTTTACTTGTGTGGCTTAAGTTGCAAATATACAGAACACATTTCAGCAGACATCTTGGTTTTTGAAGAGAGAGAGAACCAACAAGTTTTACACATATGCACAACTAGTAACCTTAGTGTACAGTGCCATCTACTGGTCAAGTGATATTAACACACAATACTATATAGTACATGCTGTTGTATCCCCAACACCAGTACAGAGTATTATAATCTGTCTTCTAATTGGTTGATGAGGGTCTTTTTGGTGTGCAAACGCTGTTTCAGTCTTCCTTTTAGCTGTTCCTTTTGTAAACTCCAGCATTTCTATGTGTGTTGGCAGGATGGATGGGTTGGAGTCAGAACTGTGAAACTAAAGAGGAAACTGTCAGCCAAGGATTTTTATAATGGTTACCTGCACCCCTGGTTCAGGCCGAATTCAAGCTTGCCTATGGAGGAGTGCCGCTTCTCTACACTGTATGTACCAGAAAAACCTAAGAAAGCAAAGCAGAAAATCTGTGTCTGTACAGAATACGTGACATTGCCGCCAAGGACAGAAGTACGGATGTGTCAATGGGGAGCGATGCCGGCTGTCCATTATTACAGCTTGGAATGGGATCACCAACAGTGACCAGATTGTTTCCCAGATTACCAATCTATACGGGTAAATGTACGACTGTTGCCAGCAGGAAGATTCTTGTTTTTACCATGTTCAAGGATAAGTTCACCTTTTGACAAAAAAAAATAATAAATGCAAATTTTTTTGCAGGTAAAAAAAAAAAATGTGCATGTATTATTTTTGTAAAGCGTTGCATCTGCGATCAGCAGATCGCTGGTGCCATGCAAGTCTCCTGCAGACCTGTCAGTATATCTGCTTTTCTGCCCATCCTGTACGGGCAAGCCGATACACTGAAAGGAAGAATCAATGAACTGCCACGGCACTCCACAATGCCGTGGTAGTTCATTGAGAACTACAAGCCAGCATCCGAAAAGGATGTCGGTACTTGTGGTTCATTCGTTCACAGAAAAATCTGTGAATGAATGACTCGGCTGTGTGGGCGGAGCCCCACACAGCTGCCCTGTTTTTAAAAAGTGACAGTTAGTACGGGGAGCTTCTCCCTGTACTGATGTCAGAGGAGAGTGCAATGGCTGCAGCATTGGGAACAAGGAACGTGGGGAGAGGGCAGCAGCTGCAGCCTTGGGAAAGTGGAACTTGGGGAGAGAGCAGCGGCTGCAGCATTGGGAGCGTGGAACTTGGGGAGAGGGCAGCATTGGGAGCGTGGAACTTGGGGAGAGGGCAGCGGCTGCAGCATTGGGAGCATGGAACTTGGGGAGAGAGCAGCGGCTGCAGCATTGGGAGCATGGAACTTGGGGAGAGAGCAGCGGCTGCAGCATTGCGAAGAAGGAACGTGGGGAGAGGGCAGTGGCTGCAGCATTGGGAGCATAGAACTTGGGGAGAGAGCAGCTGCTGCAGCATTGGGAAGCATGGAACGTGGGGAGAGGGCAGCGGCTGCAGCATTGGGAGCATGGAACTTGCGGAGAGAGCAGCGGCTGCAGCATTGCAAAGAAAGGAACGTGGGGAGAGGGCAGCGGCTGCAGCATTGTGAACGTGGGAAGAAGGAACGTGGGGAGAGGGCAGCGGCTGCAGCATTGTGAACGTGGGGAGAGGGCAGCGGCTGCAGCATTGGGAAGAAGGAACGTGGGGAGAGGGCAGCGGCTGCAGCATTGTGAACGTGGAACTGAAAGGTGAACTTACCCTTTAAGACTGTAAAACAAGTAGATTCGATGGGAACATAGTTCCACCATTAGGAACACGATGAAAGGCTTCTATTTGAGGGGTGTGTTAGTAATTTATTTTTTTTTTTTTTGTATGGAGAATTCAGACTGTGGAATTGGGCAATTCATTTGATTTGAATCAGAGGCCTCTTCCTATGGTCGTGCAACCAGAGTATGGTCAGGACTTTATTTGATTTGTTGATATTATTTTGAAAAGTAATTCTTTGAAAATATTGTGAATCGTACCTTTGCCATCGACAACTCGGGCAGAGATATCAGCATGCAACCTATGGTTGTGATGGTGAGAAAAGACCGGGCCGAGAAGCACTGTTTCACACATTCCACCTGTAAGGAATGGCATGTCAACGGACAGGAAGGTCAGGATCAACCTTGCCAATGGGGATACTATACCCAGGAAATTAAACTCTCTCTTAAAAAAGGAAAAAAAAAAAAAAAAAAAAACACCATCACAGACTGGGTTTTTATGGCAGAGGAGACCCTAGTGGCCTCCCTGCTGGTCATTGGTAATGTACGCTGAGTAGTATGGAGGCCGTAGTGTTTTCACCTTTCCATTTTTTTATGAAAAGATGAACATACTGTGCACCTTAAAGCGGATTTCCACTCACCCTGTCAAAAAATAAAAGTCAGCAGCTACAAAAACTGTAGCTGCTGACTTTTAAAAAAAACAGCCACTTGCCGGTCCCGTGGTGTGTCCCCCGCAGCCTGCTTCACCGGCCGTCCTGTATTGCAGGAGGCCGGCATCTTCAGTGTGAGCACCCGCCTTTGATAACTTGCGGCTTCACAGCTGGGTACCCACTGAGTAGCGCTGCACTTCATGAATGGTCCTGTAGTCTTCTGGGACCTGTCATGTGTCCCAAAAGTCTACAGGGAGGGAAGGAGGAGGACAACTTCCGATCGCCTAGGCGATCAGGACCGGAAGTGGGAGCGGGTACCTGTCAAATTCGGTTACTCGCTCCCCCGCGTGTCAATTCTTAATGAGGAGCGGGGGAGCAGTGCTTAAAGTGGAACTTCCCCTTTTGGGTGGAGCTCCGCTTTAACGCAAATGTCTGACATGTATGGATAGCACAATATCCGTGCTAATGCAAACTAACAGAGATTTGTTGTGCGCCGGAGACAGGAATTGGAAGGCTCGGATTGGTTAAAGTAGAATTCTCAGTCACACCTAACTAGCTTTAAAACTGCCCCTCCCCTTCTAACACCTATGCTAACACAGGGCTGACAAGTTTGCTTTAAATCTAGGAGCCAGCTTAAAAAGGAGACAGTGTTTTTTTTTTTCAGCGTAGCATTGGTTGTCAGCGCCCGTGGCAAAATAACTTAATGCGTCACGTGATGCGATTTGCCACGCAATCATGACGGCAAAACCACCGCACGTTCTAGGTCACACATGCCAAAGATAAGTGCTGCAACCCTCATAACATATTCCAGAAGGAGTATAGATCTCACCGTGCGACTCCTGTGGTCTCCATCTGCTGAACCAATAGGTCAATCATATAGGATCTCTCGTTGACCTCTATGCAAAAAACGTCTCTCACTGACCCCCAGGCAAAAAACATCTCTCATTGACCCCAATGCAAAAAACGTCGTCTCTCGACCTCAATGCAAAAAATGTCTCTCATTGACCTTAATGCAAAAAACACCTCCCACTGACTTCAATGCAAATAATGCCTCTCGTTGACCTCCATGCAAAAAACGCCTCTCGTTGTCCTCCATGCAAAAAACGCCTCTTGTTGTCCTCCATGCAAAAACGCCTCTTGTTGTCCTCCATGCAAAAAAGTTGTCCTCCATGCAAAAACGCCTCTTGTTGTCCTCCATGCAAAAAACGCCTCTTGTTGTCCTCCATGCAAAAAACGCCTCTCGTTGTCCTCCATGCAAAAAACGCCTCCAGTTGTCCTCCATGCAAAAAACGCCTCCAGTTGTCCTCCATGCAAAAACGCCTCCCGTTGTCCTCCATGCAAAAAACGCCTCCAGTTGTCCTCCATGCAAAAACGCCTCCCGTTGTCCTCCATGCAAAAAACGCCTCCCGTTGTCCTCCATGCAAAAACATCTGTCAATAGCAATCCTGTATGAACAAAACTAAAACAACTGAGTAAGGTCTTGTGACTGAAAGGTGTTCGTGTCGCTTGTCTTCTCCAACGTTTTTATACTCTCTGTTCAAATAAAGTCTCTACAGTTCCATCCTCACCTTGTTGCCGATCCTATATGATTGACTTCCATGTTCTAGGTGCCATTGAAAATAATGACACCTGAACCTGCGTTTTGCAAACACAGAGATTCCACCACAATCCCAACTCACAAATTTGCATGACAGGCTAGATATTATGTGTTACTCCTTGAGGTGGTTTACACCGATACCATCCACACGCATGAGTTCCATTACCAAAACAGCCCTGTACGAGTTCGTAGCGGTGCGTTCTAGACTTGCAAGTGATAAGAGTAGAGTGGCATGTAGAGAAAAGTGTTCACATAGGATTGCTATTGACAGGAGTTTTTGCATTGAAGTCAGTGGGATGTGTTTTTGCATTCAGGTCAGTGGGATCCGTTTTTGAATTGAAGTCAATGGGAGGCATTTTTGCATTGACGTCAATGAGAGGCATTTTTGCATTCAAGTAACTAGGGGGCATTTTTGCATTGAAGTCCAATGAGAGGTATTTTTGCATTGAAGTCCAATGAGATGCGATTTTCCAATTAAGTCAATGGGAGGCATTTTTGCATTGAAGACAGTGGGAGGTGAATTTTCAATTAAAGCCAATGGGAGGCATTTTTGCATTGAAGTAACCAGGGGGCATTTTTGCATTGAAGTCCAATGAGATGCAATTTTCCAATTAAGTCAATGGGAGGCATTTTTGCATTGAAGACAGTGGGAGGTGAATTTTCAATTAAAGCCAATGGGAGGCATTTTTGCATTGAAGTAACCAGGGGGCATTTTTGCATTGAAGTCCAATGAGATGCGATTTTCCAATTAAGTCAATGGGAGGCATTTTTGCATTGACGTTGAAGTTTTTGCATTCAAGTAACTAGGGGGCATTTTTGCATTGAAGTCCAATGAGAGGTATTTTTGCATTGAAGTCCAATGAGATGCGATTTTCCAATTAAGTCAATGGGAGGCATTTTTGCATTGAAGACAGTGGGAGGTGAATTTTCAATTAAAGCCAATGGGAGGCATTTTTGCATTGAAGTAACCAGGGGGCATTTTTGCATTGAAGTCCAATGAGATGCAATTTTCCAATTAAGTCAATGGGAGGCATTTTTGCATTGAAGACAGTGGGAGGTGAATTTTCAATTAAAGCCAATGGGAGGCATTTTTGCATTGAAGTAACCAGGGGGCATTTTTGCATTGAAGTCCAATGAGATGCGATTTTCCAATTAAGTCAATGGGAGGCATTTTTGCTTTGAAGTCAGTGGGAGGCATTTTTTAGATTAAAGTCCAATATGAGGCATTTTTGCATTGAGGTCAATAAAAGATGTTTTTGCATTGAAGTCAATATGAGGCATTTTTGCATTGACGTCAATGAGAGGCATTGTTGCGTCGAAGTCAATAGGGAGCATTTTTGCATTGAAGTCCAATAAGAGGCATTTTTGCGTTGAAGTTAATGAAAGCCATTTTTTTCATTGAAGTCAATGGGATGCAATTTTGCATCGCAGTCAGCGGGAGGGCAGTGTGCGTGTGTTTGTGAACCCAGGTGCCAGGACACAATTTCTGTTTGCCATGGTGACCTGGTATTTGTCAAGCCTTGTCGCAAATAAACCTGTATATGAAATATCTGTATACCTACTTATTTTCTGCTTGGTTCGGTCACGTGATCTCCCCTGCATCTGCTGCAGGCGAAAGGGGAGAGCGCTCCAACAACATCTAGTAAAGCCTGAAGCTGTGACGTCACCCATAGGCTTCAATTGCCCATCCATTGTCTACACTCCCCTCCAGCCGTGCTGGCTGAGGGAGCCAGATCCCGTGACCAGACCAGCGCGGCTTGAAAATAGCCAAGTACACAGATCTTTCTTGTACAGGTTGGGTATCATAGGTGTCAGGAGGGGGCAGTTTTAAGATGAGTTAATTAGTTATACAATTCTTTTTTAATTTCCAGTCCTTGTACAATGATTGTGTTCAGTCAATCATGGAAATACATTACTTACAGGACATATAAACTTCCTTCTGCCTGTTCAGATTTCCTGACGATCATATTCCTTTTACACGTGCTGAATGTTCAGAAAGGTTTAAGGATGCTTAATTAAAACAGAAAATGAAGCAAAAATCTTATTTTATTGTTTAATAAAATAAATAAATGAAAATGCAGAATTCCTGTTTGATTTGTGATTTATGTAGGAAGAATGACCGGACTAGCGGAAGGCTCACCTGTCCATAATAAATACCTTCATTTTTCTCTGGGTTAGTGTCATCTTGCATCTTTTTTCAGCATAAAATTGAGGTTTCGGCAGCAGTAAAAGTTGGATGTCACTCACAGTCCTACATTGTCCAGCAATGTGTCGTCCTTCGTGGTACAGAAGTGATGAGCGGCAGTGATGTGGCGCCTTGGAAGAAGCGTAGGAGATATTCCGAGAATATTTAATAGAGCAGCGTACTCCTCTCAGGATGGTTTCACCAAAGGAAGATACCACTGGAGGGAGGGGGGAGGCGACAAACAGAACATCAGATCACACAGAATGGAAGGGACAAAGATCTAGAGACTTTACAGAACCAAAATGCTAGTATGGCCGCCTTCTCTATTTCATATAGAATATACAAAAACTAAACCACGTGGCATTTTAACAACTTCAGCTCTCAGATTTTACCCCCTTCATGACCAGGCCTTTTTTTTTTTTTTTTGCTATACTGCACTGCGCTACTTCAACCGGTAATTGCATGGTCATGCAATGCTGTACCCACATTACATTTTTTTTTTTTTTTTTAACAGCTGCGTTTATTGAAATCGTACAAAAGTATAAACAATAAAAGGTACATAAGAACAATCAAGCTTATGGCATTCAGTAGAAATTCAATACGCATGAGATTCCAATGCTGAAAAAAAAAAAAAAAAAAAAAAAAAACCATACTGATTCAACCGGTCATCCTGAGTCTGGTTGGGAAAAACATACATAATACAATATAGATGGCCTATACCCATGAAATAAGAGTTAGGAAAAAGATCTCAAGGTTTTTTACCTTCATGCATTCTATGCACGAAGGTAAAAAAAAAAAAAACTTCTGTGCAGCAGTTCCCCCAATACTTACCTGAGCCCAATCCAGTAATGTGCACGAGCGTCGCTCCCGTTACTGTCAATCACAGCCAGTGAGCCAATGAGGAGAGAGCAGAGGGTGGAGCCCAGCCACGCTGTGTGTGAATGGACAGACAGCGCAGCGGCTCAGGAGTGAGCCTGCTTGGGTGCTTGCATTTGGCAGGAGGGAAGGGCTGGGACCGGAGCAGAGGAGGATCTGGGCTGCTCTGTGCAAAACAATTACATAGAGCAGGTACGTATGACATGTTTTTTTTTTATATCTACCTTTAATATCACTTTAAAGTGGTGCAGATAACTACCTGAAATCGATCACGTGGCAGAGCTCTCACCAAAACTGTTGCAAGGCTTTCATAAATTATCCTCGGGATTTTTTTAAAAGGGACTACGCCGTCGGAAAAGTGTCACAAATGCTTTATTGAATCTCTCCCAACCCCACCCCCCGTGTTCAGCTTGGCTAAATATTACCTCTTCTGACATCCCAGCTGATTTCCTGCCCTCAGTGTTGAAGGGTGGCTTCAGGTAACCTCTGAAATATAATGGTACCAGTTCATGGAATGTGGATAAGCAGTCCTAAGAGAGAGAGAAGATTGCACCATCAATATTTATACCTGTACTTCCAGCCTGAGGCTGGGCATGCACAGGAGCTTTTATGTTTGTATATTCATAGATTATATGACACCAGACAGGTTACAGGTCTTGGACACATGAGGAATGGGGGGCTATGGATCCCCCCGTACTATCACACACTATACAAGACCACTGCCATAACAGGATTATCAGAAAAGGCACTATAGGTGTATCTCCTAGATTGTAAGCTCCAAGGATCAGGGCTCTCCTATCCCTCTTGTATTGATCTGTATTGTCTCCCCCTATATTGTAAAGTGCTGAGCAAACTGTTGGCGCCATAAATCTTGTATAATAATAATAATAATAATATTCCTTTGATGGAACTGTTTAACCACTTGACTACAGCGTACGTATGCCCCCTTTCTGCCCAGGCCAATTTTCAGCTTTCAGCGCTGTCGCACTTTGAATGACAATTGCGCAGTCATGCAACACTGTACCCATATGAATTTTTTATAATTTGTTTGAGACCAAGCTTTCTTTTGGTGGTATTTAATCACCTTTGGATTTTTTATTTTTTGCTAAACAAATCAAAACTTTGAAAAAAAAAAAAAAAGTTATAAAATTTTGTAAATAAGTGATTTTTCTCCTTCACTGATGTGCGCTAATGAGGCTGCAGTGATGGGCACTGATATGCTGCACTGATGGGCACTGAAAGCAGCACTCATATATAACACTGACTGGCACTGTTTAGGTGGCACTGATAGACAGCACTGAAAGGCAGCTCAGATGGGCACTGATATGTGGCATTGATGGGCACTGGCAGGTGGCAATGATGGGGCTACACATGATGGGCCCAGGGACACAGTGTACCACCGATCGCCGCACTGCACTGTGTCCCAGGGACACAGAGCACCACGAACGCCACGCTGCACGCCCCCGGGGCACGCGGTTAGATTGAGAGGACGTCATATGACATCCTCTCGGAACGAGAGAACCGCCTTGCGCCCGTCATTTCCTTATATGGTGGGCGGGAGGTGATTAAGATAAAAATAATTAATGTTTCAAAAAGGTACTAATACAAAATATGTGAGATGTGTATAAACATTAGCTACCTTTTTCTTGGGCTCTTCAGATTGTATTGGCATGCCATTAGTGCCGAAGACAACCTCTGTACTTACCTGAAGAGTGCAGATTCCATTGCCCAGATTGATGATAGGTTTACTTTAAAATGTAAGCCTTTAGAATCACTTTCAGCTTTTATTTTTACAAAAAAAAAAAAAAAAAAAGTCCTGCTCTGTGTAGTGGTTTTGTACAGAGCAGCCCTGATCCTCCTCTTCTCAAGTCCCTTGCCTCCTGTCGGGTGCCCCCACAGCAAGCAGCTTACTATGGGGGCATCCAAGCATGCGTATTCCCCAGCCGCTGCTCCGTGGCTGTAATTGACAGCAGCGGGAGCCATTGTCTCAGCTGATGAGGAGAGGGGAGTCCCTGTGTAGCCGAGACTGCAGTGCACATTGCTGGATCAAGAGGGGGCTCAGGTGAGTATTAGGGGGGCTGCTGCACAAAGAAGGTTTTTTTTTTTTTTTTTTTTTATAACCTTCATGCATAAAGTAAAAAACCTTGAGCCTTTACAACCCCTTGAAGTTTAGTTATGGCAATTTTAGTTTTAATTTGGCCCTGCAGGGTCACTCCATGGAGGTGAGGGGGCATTTCACCTAGTAATGGATCCTATTGCATTGTGTATTCGCCTTCACAATACCAGCACTATCTAAGAACTACAAAACACCTTCACAGTTTTAAGGTGCATTGGACTTCACATTTTGGCTGGAGTGTATGTAGTTCATGGGACTTCTTGTTATCGGGTCCTTTGTATGCTATTCAGGACCCATTGTGTTCATATTATTTAAGTCACTTGTACACTATTTCACATACCCCTAATTTAGGGGTCACTGTTTTGTGATTTCACATGTATTCTATTCATCACATTTTCACTTGAATCCGTAAGTTTCAGCGGATTTCAGCAATAGATGTGCGTTGCAGAAAAAACTTTGCAGCTTTATTTTTCATCTACACAAGTTTCTACTCTTTATTTAATTTTATTTTTTCTCTTTCATTATGTTCACTGTGAACACTTAAATTTTGAGAACAATTCCTATAGCAACTAATCAGTTACAGGATAGAATTTGTTGTTGTTATACTTGTATCACTGAGTTTTGAGATCCTCAATAGGATCATATCATGTTTTTTTGGGCACAATTCAAAAAGAAGTAAAAAAAAAAACAAAACAAATTATATATATTTTTTTCCCTTACTTAGTATTTGTGTTTTTTTCACCCATAGTCACCTATTTAGTTCCAGTGGTGTACCTAGGTTACACCTTTTTACATTTGGGTGGTATTCACTATTAGCCACATACTTGGATGTTTTCATTTGCATTCTTTTTAATTATTTTATTGTGATTTTGTGTATATTCATTTTTACAAGTTTCAGTATAAGTTACACTGTGTGGGGTATAAATACCACAGTTTATTTATCACCTAGAAATAGCACAGCACCAATTAGTCTTCAATTCAACCACTGCTCCAAGGATCTCCACAAACTTCCAGGTCCTGGGTTGAGCAGCTGCCCTGTCGAGGTTGCTTGCTTGGCATAGGCACCATTCAGAGAATGCTTTGCATTTACTCAATGAATGCAGACCGTTTCCTGATTGGACGTCACCAATCCACTTTGTCTGATTTAATCAAAGAATGCTTTGGATTCACTAAGAAAATGCAAAATATTCTCTGAATGGTGCCCATCCTGAGGGAGTGAACTCCTGTTTTCATAATGCAGCAGGGCAGCTGCTCAGCATGGAACCTGGAAGCTAGTGGAGATCACTGGGGTAGTGCTGCCTAATACAGAGATTTCCAGCTTCAACAGGGATCCCATAGATATGGTACATACATACTGGCATTGGTCCAAGCTGGTATTTGTATACACTATTCATTTATCACTGGTATATGCAGTTCTATGGACAATTATGTACCGTATTTTTCGCTCCATAAGACGCGCCTAGGTTTTAGAGGCTGAAAACAGGAAAAAAAATATTCTGAACTAATGGACTGCAGACACAGTACAGGGGATGACCAGACTGCGGACACATTACAGGAGATGGTCAGACTGTGGACAGTATAGAAGATGACCAGAGACTGCGGACACAGTACAGGAGATGACCAGGAGACTGCGGACACAGTTACAGGAGGATGACCGAGACTGCGGACACAGTACAGAAGATGACCAGAGACTGCGGACACAGTACAGGGGATGACCAGAGACTGCGGACACAGTACAGGAGATGACCAGAGACTGCGGACACAGTACAGGGATGACCATAGACTGCGGACATAGTACAGGGGATGACCATAGACTGCGGACACAGTACAGGAGATGACCAGAGACTGCGGACACAGTACAGGAGATGACCAGAGACTGCGGACACAGTACAGGAGATGACCAGAGACTGCGGACACAGTACAGGGGATGACCAGAGACTGCGGACACAGTACAGGAGATGACCAGAGACTGCGGACACAGTACAGGAGATGACCAGAGACTGCGGACACAGTACAGGAGATGACCAGAGACTGCGGACACAGTACAGGGATGACCAGAGCCTGCGGACACAGTACAGGAGATGACCAGAGACTGCGGACACAGTACAGGGGATGACCAGAGACTGCGGACACAGTACAGGAGATGACCAGAGACTGCGGACAGTACAGGGGATGACCAGAGACTGCGGACACAGTACAGGGGATGACCAGAGACTGCGGACAGTACAGGGATGACCAGAGACTGCGGACACAGTACAGGAGATGACCAGAGACTGCGGGGACAGTACAGGAGATGACCAGAGACTGCGGGGACACAGTACAGGAGATGACCAGAGACTGCGGGGACAGTACAGGAGATGACCAGAGACTGTGGGGACAGCACAGGGATGACCAGAGACTGTGGACAGTACAGGAGATGACTGCGGACCTTTGGGGAGGGGGGGGGGAGCAGGTACCTGAATTTGACAGGTACCCGCTCTTACTTCCGCGGAGTTGTTCTTTGATCTTAACTGTTCCTCTATCCAGCAGCGCGCTGTCTTCCCGGCTTCTGTAGTGTGGGCGCTGGGCTTGACAGCCGGGTGCCCAGTGTGCATGAGCGAGAAGCGCTGCGCTTTGTGATTGGTCCGGCAGCTTCTGGGATCTGTCATGTGTCCCAGGTGCCACCTTACCATTCACAAAGAGCACCGTTTCTTGCGCATGCGCACTTGGCACCCGACTGTCAAGCCCAGTGCCCACACTACAGAAGCCGGGAAGACAGTGCGCCGCTGGATAGAGGAACAGGTAAGGTCCCGCTGCAGCGCTGAGCGGCCGGCCCCGGTATTTTGACATGGCGGCAGTGGAAATACCAGACTGGCCGCTCCATAAGACGCACTCACATGGGGGGGGGGGGGGGGGGGGGAGAGGAAGTGTGTCTTATGGAGCGAAAAATACGGTCTATGTGTTTAAATATGTGTGATGTAGCACATATTATTGCCGAGAAGCAAAATATAATTTTTTTTTTTTTCACTATTCACATATGCACGTTGGATTTATTAGCACCGTATTTGAGTTCATAGTATTGCGCTGCATTTTTTTTAAATTTATGGTTTACATGTGGGAACACATTACATGCTAATTGCAATATTTGTTTCACAGGAGGTCTACTGCTCTGAGGGTTTCTCATACACATTCTGGTACTACAGTACATTAAAATTTTTTCAGCTTTAGAGCTCATGTACACTGCAGCTGATAAACTCACGTTTAGGATCTGTTCAGCCGTTTTATCAGCAGCCCCTGAACTCTCCCTAATGTTTTCCTATGTGTCCATGTACACATCGTCGTTTACAGGCAGTTGAGTTTACAGTTGTTTTTTTTGAACGCAGAAAACTTGCGTTCAGTAGTCGATTTTATCAGCGGTTCAAACGCAAAACGCTTGTAAAAAGCAGCAAATCGCATTTATAAGCGTTTGCAATTTTTTTTTTACCTCTTGCAGTTCCCGATGCTGGCCAGAGCCTTTTTTCAGCATGAGAAATGCATATAAAGCGTTTTCAAGGTACTCAAATGGACAAAATACTGAACACAGGATGTTCCTACCAAGCTTGTCACACATTATAATGACCAATTCACACCTCAGACCTCTCCCAACCTTGGAAACAAAAGATATGTTAATGACCATTCACACCTCAAATTCCTCATGAAGACCCCCTGCCAGGTGGCCTTAATGACTCCTCCACCAGACACCTTTCCCACCCTTGGAAACAAAAGAAATGTTAATGAGCAACTCACTCCTAAGCTAATCTCAACACATACTGCTGTCTCTGCTTCTACTCTCTGTATTTCTCTGAAATAGTTAATAATTTACCACTTTTCAGTGCATTCTGGGCATTTGGGAGGTTCTCCTATGCGTATCTTTAAAAAAACGCTTCTAAACACAAATGCGCATAAACGCGCTATGCAAACGCGGCTAAACAGACGTTTTTTAACCTACGTTTTCCAGCAATCAGTTTCCATTGTTCAGAAGTGTCCCGTGTAAATGGGGCCTTAAAGTGTAGCATTATATTATGTGCAAATAGAATATTTAAATTTGTAAAAGAAATGTGCACAAAATTCATAAAAACTGCAATAATGAACACCTTTTATTAGAGAGAGAATCACAGAGCATAGCCCTGATGGCTGATGAGCAACTTAGTCTGATTTGGTGCCAATATTCATTACTCACCCGCTGCTCTTCGGCACAGATGTAAGTGAACCACTTCAGACCAGCTGCCACATGAGTGATCTCATCAGTGTAAATGACTTCCAGTACCTGGGCTGAGCTTTCATCCCCCTGAGCTGAGAATCGCTGTAATGTCCGCGGTGAACGTCCAGACCTCTGAAAAAAAAAAAAAAAAAAAAACCCCCACACAATTAATACTCCAATATTACTAAGAACAGAATGTGAGGCACACACTGAAGCTGTAGATTGATAGTACAGTGGGGATCGAAAGTTTGGGCACCCCAGCTAAAAATTTGTATTAATGTGCATAAAGAAGCCAAGGAAAGATGGAAAAATCTCCAAAAGGCATCAAATTACAGATTAGACATTCTTATATGTCAACAAAAGTTAGATTTTATTTCCATCATTTACACTTTCAAAATAACAGAAAACAAAAAAATGGCGTCTGCAAAAGTTTGGGCACCCTGCAGAGTTAATATCTTGTACTGCCCCCTTTGGCAAGTATCACAGCTTGTAAACGCTTTTTGTAGCCAGCCAAGAGTCTTTCAGTTCTTGTTTGAGGTATCTTTGCCCATTCTTCCTTACAAAAGTCTTCCAGTTCTTTGAGATTTCTGGGCTGTCTGTCACGCACGGCTCTTTTAAGGTCTAAGACTCTCTTAAAAACCAGTTCTGGCCAGCTCAGTAGATTTTTTAAAAAGGCTTGGATTCTTTCCTAGATACACAAAACAAAGCCCTGAATACAAATATTTATAGGTAATAACACCAGGGGTAACTGATCCAAGAAATATCCGATTGGTGAATCCGGAAGACATTTTTTTCCTCCTCTGCAACAAACTGGATCATGCTTTATAGGGTTTTTTTGCATTCCTCTGGATCAACTGTGGGTACAGGATTGTGTATCTTTTTTGCAACCCGACTATGAACGCCAATCTCCGTTTCATGTACCATACACAGCAAATATTAAAGAGGAGTTTCAGTTATGGCAGTTTCTTACATAGGTACATTAATACAGCTTGGACCAATGTAACCATGTCTATACCATACCGGTGGGATCCCTCTTTTAGCAGGAAATCACTGTATTGACACCTCTACTCTAGTGATCTCCACTAGCTTTCGGGCCCTGTGCCCAGTATCTGCCCTGCTGCATTGTGGACACGAGAGATTGCTCACTTAGCATAAGCATCACTCAGGGGACACTTTGCATTTTCTCAATAAATGCAAAGTGTTCTCCGATTGGACAAGGTGAAGATCATGACTTCACCGCTCCTCCTCTTGCTCTTGTCCAATCAGAGAACGCTTTGCACTCACATAATGTAAACTTGACTATGAACACCACTCTCTGTTTCATGTACCATACACAGCAAATATTAAAGATGAGTTTCAGTAAAAGTTGCATGAAAAAGTATGTGAACCCCTTTGGATTACGTGGAGTTTTGCATGAATTGGCCATAAAATGTGCTCTGAACGTCATCTAAGTCACAACAATAGAAGAACACAGTCTGCTGAACATAATACTACACAAACATTAGATGTTGCCATGGTTTAATTGTACATAACATGTAAAAATTCACAGTGCGGGGAGGAAAAAGTATGTGAACCTTTGGACTTAATAACTGGTTGACCCTCCTTTGGCAGCAATAACCTCAACCAAACGTTTCCCGTAGTTGCAGATCAGACCTGCACAACGATCTGGAGTCATTTTGGACCACTCCTCTTCACAAAACTGTTTCAGTGTAGCAATATTCTTGGGATGTCTGGTGTGAATCGCTCTCTTAAGGTCATGCCACAGCATTTCAATCGGTTGAGGTCAGGACTCTGACTGGGCCACTCCAGAAGGCGTATTCTGTGCTGTTGCAGCCATTGTTTTGTTGAATTACTTGTATGCTTTGGGTCATTGTCCTGTTGCATCACCCATCCTCTGCGGAGCTTCAGTTGGTGGACAGATGGTCGTACGTTTTCCTGCAAAATGTCTTGATAAACTCTGGAATTAATTTTCCCATCAATGACAACAATCCGTCCAGGCCCTGAGGCAGCAAAGCAGCCCCAAACCATGATGCTCCCTCCGCCATGTTTCACAGTGGGGATGAGGTTTTGATGTTGGTGTGCTGTGCCTTTTTTTCTCCACACATAGTGTTGTGTGTTCTTCCCAAACAACTCAATCTTGGTTTCATCTGTCCACAGTATATTTTGCCAGTAGTGCTGTGGAACATCCAGGTGCTCTTTTGCAAACTTCAAACGTGCTGCAATATTCTTTTTGGACAGCAATGGCTTCCTCCGTGGTGTCCTCCCATGTACTCCATTCTTGTTTAATGTTTTCCTTATTGTAGATGTGTCAACAAAAATGTTAGCATGTGCCAGAGATTTCTGTAGGTCTTTAGCTGACACTCTGGGATTCTTCTTTACCTCATGCAGCATTCTGCGCTGTGCTCTTGCAGTCATTTTTACAGGACGACCACGCCTAGGGAGAGTAGCAACAGTGCTAAACTTTCTCCATTTGTAGACAGTCTGTCTTACCGTGGACACATGAACATCAAGGCTTTTGGAGATACTTTTGTAACCCTTTCCAGCTTCATGCAAGTCAACAATTCTTGATCGTAGGTCTTCTGAGAGCTCTTTTCTGCGAGGCATGGTTCACATCAGACAGTGCTTCTTGAAACCAGTAAACCCAAAACAGGTGTGTGTTTTTTAAGGGCAGGACAGCTGTCAGCAACACATCCAATATCATCACACTGATTGGAGTCAAGGTTGGCTCACTCCTGGCTCCAATTAACTCTGGGAGAAGTCATTAAGCTAGGGCCTCACATACTTTTTCCTCCCTGCACTGTGAATGTTTACATGTTATGTGCAATTAAACCATCGCAACATCTAATGTTTGTGTAGTATTATGTTCAGCAGACTGTGTCCTTCTATTGTTGTGACTTAGATGACGTTCAGAGCACATTTTATGCCCAATTCATGCAAAACTCCACGTAATCCCAAGGGGTTCACATACTTTTTCTTGCAACTGTATGGCAGTTTCTTACATAGGTACATTAATACAGCTTGGACCAATGTAACCATGTCTATACCATACCGGTGGGATCCCTCTTTTAGCATGAAATCACTGTATTGGCACCTCTACTCTAGCGATCTCCACTCGCTTTCTGGCCACTCAGGGGACACTTTGCATTTTCTCAATAAATGCAAAGTGTTCTTCTATTGGACAAGGTGGAGATCATGACTTCACCGTTCCTCCTCTTGCCCTTGTCCAATCCGAGAATGCTTTGCATTCATTGGAAAAAATCTCACATAATGTAAACCTAGGCGAAACATACAAACTAACAAGAAACTCAATTTGAGAACAATCAGCGCACAGTGCTATCACCCAGCTATTAGGAATTGTAAAAGAGTCCATTGTAGGGCAATAAAAGTCCATAAAGCACTAGGGCAAGCCTCATGTAGTAGTAGCAAAACTCTGTATAGAATAGAAAAGAGAAGAAGCGCCTCTAAGTGCAGTATAGGTTACTTTAATGGATAACAAATGTAGAACAACTCACACTTTTCATGATAAAAGCAAGCTCAAAAAGATGGGAGGACGGCCGTGTCCGTGCTGTGCCAGCAGTGTCTGCAGTCGGAAGACCGTGGATGTAGGAAAGAGCCGGCCGGCGTGTGTAGTCTTCTAAAATGGCGTCTGGAACGCTGACGCAGACATGGTGTCTCAATGAAACATGTTAGCTGTTCTACATCTGTTATCCATTAAAGTAACCTATACTGCACTTAGAGGCGCTTCTTCTCTTTTCTTTTCGAAACATACAAACTCCATGTGGCTAATGATCAAAGAAGGAAAGAAACCCAGGGTCTACCTAGAGTGTAGAATAAGGCTGCATTCTGTACCCATACCTGGCTTCATGGACCATATGTACAATAGCCAAACGTCCAAGGAGGTCATGAGCAGTATCCGACGCAGACTGCCACAATCCTGAAAGATATATAAAAATATGAAATCACAGGTCCCTACTTTGTAATAAATGCAACATACAGGGGTGTAGGTATTAAAAAAAACATTGCTGTGCGAATGCCTCAAGTCACAAAAAAAAAAAAATCAATGTGATTTGTGTAATATGTTTAGTGCTCATGTACACTGCAGCTGATAAACTCACATGCAGGAGCTGTTCAGCGTTTTTTTTCAGCAGCCCCTGAACTCTCCCTAATGTTCTCCTATGTGTCCATGTACACATATCGTTTACAGTCGTTTACAGGCATTTGAGTTTACAGTTGTTTTTTTTTGAACGCACCAAACTTGTGTTCAGCAGCCGATTTTATCAGCGTTTTCAAACGCAAAATGCTTTTAAACGCGGCAAAATCGCATTTATAAGTGGTTGAAATTTTTTTTTTAACTCTTCCAGTTCCCGATGCTGTCCAGAGCTTTTTTTCATCATGAACAATGCATGCAAAGCATTTTCAAGGTACTCAGATGGACAAAACACTGAACACAGGATGTTCCTACCTGTCACACATTGTAATGACCAATTCACACCTCAGACCTCTCCCACCCTTGGAAACAAAAGATACGTTAATGACCAATTCACACCTCAGACCTCTCCCACCCTTGGAAACAAAAGATACGTAAATGACCATTCACACCTCGTACCTCTCCCACCCTTGGAAATAAAAGATACGTTATTGACCATTCACCTCTCCCACCCTCGTAAAGATACGTTAATGACCATTCACACCTCAGACCTCTGGAAATAAAAGATACGTTATTGACCATTCACGCCTCAGACCTCTCCCACCCTTGGAAACAAAAGATACATTAATGACCATTCACACCTCAGACCTCTCCCACCCTTGGAAACAAAAGATATGTTAATGACCAATTCACACCTCAAACCCTTGGAAATAAAAGATATGTTAATGACCATTCACACCTCAAATTCCTCACGAAGACCCCATGCCAGGTGGCCTTAATGACTCCCTCCACCAGACACCTTTCCCACCCTTGGAAACAAAAGAAATGTTAATGAGCAACTCACACCTAAGCTAATCTCAACACATACTGCTGTCTCTGCTTCTACTCTCTGTATTTCTCTGAAAGTCTGAAATAGTTAATAATTTACCACTTTTCAGTGCAATCTGGGCATCTGGGAGGTTCTCCTGTGCTAATCTTTAAAAAACGCTTCTAAAACGCAAAGGCGTATAAACGCACTATGCAAACGCAGCTAAACATATTTTTTTTTCCTATGTTTTCCAGTAGTCAGTTTCCATCGTACAGAAGTGTCCTGTGTACATGGGGCCTTACTTTCTATGATCGTCAGTTCCATCTAGTGGTCATAGTACAGTATTTTCCTGACTGGGATATTTTAGGGAAATATCACGTCATGGCCAATAGATGGAGGTGATGATCATAGCAAGTAAAAGTATAAATACAAATGATGAGATTTTTTTTTTGTGCTTGAGACATTCCTACAGTGATTTATAAACAGAACGGTCATCTGACAGTGCAGGATACAGTGCAATAAGAACGTACCATTGTGCACAGGAAGATCACCAAAAGTACTGCCCAGCTCTGTAAGGCGCTTCTGTAGAAGGCAGTAATGCTGAGAAAGAGATGAAGCTGCATGTTAGGTCAACCGAATATAGTCAGGGGATTTATTTTCCAAACAACAGACTACAAACCTTTGCTTCATCTCCGGCCACCTTCACAAAGTCTGAGAAGAACTCTCTTGGAAGTTTCTCTCCTGATTTTAGTTGGAATTGAGCAAAACGTGCAATAATGTCCCAGGACAGGTCTATGGCCCATTGCTCGATGTTTGCTAGAGAGTGCAGCAACGCAATCCTACTGGCCTACAAAACACATGAGACAGAAGCATCACCAAACCAAACTAATGCAGGCCATACACGCGTCGAATTCCGAGCAAATTTTCTTTAGAAAATGAGAAATTTTGTACGTATTGTAAATTGATGGGGCCACCATTGACTTCGAAAATTCAACCAACCAAGCCTTCAATTTCACCTCATGTGGCTACAGAAAAGAATTTTTGTGGCCGGAGACAGTTTGTCAGACGACCCCCAAACACTGAATTCAAGCCACAGTACACTGTGAAGACCGTGAAGCATGGTGGTGTAAGCATCATGATATGGGGATGTTTCTCATACTACGGTGTTGGGCCTATTTATCACATACCAGGGATCATGGATCAGTTCGAATACATCAGAATACTTGAAGAGGTCATGCAGCCTTATGCTGAAGAGGAAATGCCCTTGAAATGGGTGTTCCAACAAGACAACGACCCCAAACACACCAGTAAATGTGCAACATCTTGGTTCCAGACCAACAAGATTGACGTTATGGAGTGACCAACCCAATCCCCGGATCTTCATCCAATAGAAAACTTGTGGGGTGACATCAAAAATGCAGTTTCTGAGGCAAAACCAAGAAATAGAGAAGAACTGTGGAATGTGGTCCAATCATCCTGGGCTGGAATACCTGATCACAGGGGCCAGACGTTGGGTGACTCCATGCAACACAGATGTACAGCAGTTCTCAGAAACAGTGCGACTACAACCAAATATTCATGAAGTCATTCAAAGGAAAGCAAAATCTTCAAACATTTCTCAGTTTATATAGTGAATGTTTGAGTTTGTAAAGAAGAATACAAACACTGCGATTTTTTTGAACCGTCTAATATTCACTTTTCTTCAATTTGTGAAGCCAAGCTATCTGCAAGAAGTCCCCGCAAAGTCCCACTGTTGGAAAAAAGACCTGTGCTGAAGAGGTTACAATTTGCCAAAGAGCACATTGACTGGCCTAAAGAGAAATGGCGCAACATTTTGTGGACTGATGAAAGTAAGATTGTTCTTTTTGGGTCTAGTGGCCGGAGACAGTTTGTCAGACGACCCCCAAACACTGAATTCAAGCCACAGTACACTGTGAAGACAGTGAAGCATGGTGGTGCAAGCATCATGATATGGGGATGTTTCTCATACTACGGTGTTGGGCCTATTTATCGCATACCAGGGATCATGGATCAGTTTGAATACATCAGAATACTTGAAGAGGTCATGCTGCCTCATGCTGAAGAGGAAATGCCCTTGAAATGGGTGTTCCAACAAGACAACGACCCCAAACACACCAGTAAACGTGCAACATCTTGGTTCCAGACCAACAAGATGGACGTTATGGAGTGGCCAGCCCAATTCCCGGATCTTAATCCAATAGAAAACCTGTGGGGTGACATCAAAAATGCCGTTTCTGAGGCAAAACCAAGAAATCGAGAAGAACTGTGGAATGTCGTCCAATCATCCTGGGCTGGAATACCTGATCACAGGGGCCAGAAGTTGGGTGACTCCATGCAACACAGATGTACAGCAGTTCTCAGAAACAGTGCGACTACAACCAAATATTCATGAAGTCATTCAAAGGAAAGCAAAATCTTCAAACATTTCTCAGTTTATATAGTGAATGTTTGAGTTTGTAAAGAAGAATACAAACACTGCGATTTTTTTGAACCGTCTAATATTCACTTTTCTTCAATTTCTTTAGAGGAACAACACAAATTTGATCTATTTTTCTTCATGTTGTGATTTGGAATAGAATGTGTCGTGTTCCCAATGCATTTGTGTGGATGGAAATAAAAGCTATTAGAAGGATTTTGAGCTTTATTCACTTTTTTCAACACATTGCTATTATTTTGAACACAACTGTATGCTCCAACAAGGGAGACTCTCCAAATTAGGACTGCAGTACACTGGGATGCCAGGACGTGGACGCCGTAGCTTACGCATATATTTGCAAATGTGTGCAAACGAAACGCTTTGTTTTTAACGTGAACCGCTGCTAAATTTTACCCAGCCTGCAGCAGCTTGTTCTATGTTTCCACTGTGGGTATTTATAAAGTGGTCAAGGATTTAATGTGATGGGGGACCCTGATGTAAAGGGGTTACGTCTGATGTGAAGTTATTTCTTGGAGCATGATTATTCTTTCATTTATAAAAACTTTTTTTTTTTTCAGCCTACGAATATTTGTAAAAAATATACAATATAGCCCTTCTACTAGTTAGACCCTCGGGAATATTCATATGAGGACGGCCAGGACTGGGACAAGGGCTGGACAGGAGGGACGGCTTCCCTGAGCGTGGTGAGGATTTGGGAGGTTGTGCTAGAATGGATGATTTGGAGGGGGGATTTGTACTAAAAGGGTGGATTTGTGTTAGGAAGGGGATTTGGGGGGGGGGGGGGGTGAGGATTTGTGCTAGTAGGGAGGATTGGAGGAATTTGTGCTAGGAAGGGAAATTAAGGTGTTGTGCTGTGCTTGGAGAGGGGAATTTGGAGGATTTATGCTCCGAGGGGAAATCTGAAGGGTAGAATTAAGTTTGTGCTAGGAAGGTGGATTTGGGGAGGGGGAAAGATTTGAGCTGGGAGGGGGGCATTAGTACTGGAAGAGGGGAAATTTTTGTTTGGGGAGAATTTTGGCTTGCAAAGGGAATTTATGCTTAGGGGTTAAAGCAGAGTTTCACTCGACCTTTTAAAAAATAACAGCAGCTACAAAAACTGTAGCTGCTGACTTTTAAAAAAAACAGTCACTTACCTGTCCCTCGGTCCCGTGGTGTGTCCCCCGCAGCCCGTTTCACCGGCCGTCCTGCATCACAGGAGGCCGGCATCTTCAGTGTGAGCACCCGGCTGTGACAGCTTGCGGCTTCACAGCCGGGTACCCACCGCGCATGCGCGAGTAGCGCTGCGCTTCATGAATGGTCCTGTAGTCTTCTGGGACCTGTCACGTGTCCCAAAAGACTACAGGGAGGGAGGAAACCTTCCTAGGCGATTTCAGTGGGAACGGGTACCTGTCAAATTTGGGTACTCACTCCCCAAAGGTGCCAATCCTTAACGGGGAGCGCGGGAGCAGTCCTTAAAGCGGAACTTCCCCTTTTGGGTGGAGCTCCGCTTTAATTAAGTGTCAAAATTAGAATTGCCCAAATGTTTTTTTTTTTTTTTTGGGGGGGGTAGTTTATGAACGGATAGCGTGTTACGTTATTCCTCTTGCCAGTCCCTGTAGATGAATTCCATCATTTGATAGACTGACTGTTAGTGAAGTTTATGTAAAAAATGACAAATCGGTAACATTTTTAACTTAAAGATGAAAAAAAGTTCAATGGGGTCCAAGCTATTCTAACAATGTTCTAATACTGATGTAATACTGTACTGACCAGTTCGCTGGATTTATTTAATGAGGGTCTTTGGATGGTTTATCAGAAACCCGAGCCGGAATGTGTTGTCGGAACACAACTTCAGAGTTGCTATGGATACGGGGATACTTGCAAAATTAGGAAGTGTTACATGATGCTCAGACAGCTCCTTGGATTGTGTGGAGACTAACATACTGGATGGAACTTTTAAAGATGATGTCAAAGTAGCAAAAACGAGGTATTCACAAAAATATAATCAAAATGAAAAAAAGGTATAAAAGGAGTTCAATCACCCAGGTCAACAACGATTTTGGACATGAACTCTTTTGCCATTTTTTTTTTCTTGCAAATTTTAAGATGCACATTTTAAGCCTGAAGATTAGTTAAAAACCCCAAATATTATATATTTGCTGACAGCAGAAACAATAAAATGGTGGTACTTACAATTTTTTATGTCACATGATATTAGCAGAACGGGTTATTAAACCCATATATTCAGTAAAAAGTACACTATCCAGTTTTTTGGTGACATACAGAAGATGAAGTTTCACTGAGTAAATACACCCATGACACCACCACCACCAGCCTGAACCATTGATACAAGGCAGGATGGATCCCCACACCATGACACCACCACCACCAGCCTGAACCATTGATACAAGGCAGGATGGATCCCCCACACCATGACACCACCAGCCTGAACCATTGATACAAGGCAGGATGGATCCCCCACACCATGACACCACCAGCCTGAACCGTTGATACAAGGCAGGATGGATCCCCCACACCATGACACCACCAGCCTGAACCACTGATACAAGGCAGGATGGATCCCCCACACCATGACACCACCAGCCTGAACCACTGATACAAGGCAGGATGGATCCCCCACACCATGACACCACCACCAGCCTGAACCGTTGATACAAGGCAGGATGGATCCACCACACCATGACACCACCACCACCAGCCTGAACCATTGATAATCCAAAGCAGGATGGATCCACCACACTATGCCACCACAGCCTGAACCATGGATACAAGGCAGGATGGATCCACCACACCAAGACACCACCAGCCTGAACCGTTGATACAAGGCAGGATGGATCCCCCACACCATGACACCACCAGCTGAACCATGATACAAGGCAGGATGGATCCCCCACACCATGACACCACCACCTGAACCGTTGATACAAGGCAGGATGGATCCACCACACTATGCCACCACCACTACCAGCCTGAACCATTGATACAAAGCAGGATGGATCCACCACACTATGCCACCACCACCAGCCTGAACCATGGATACAAGGCAGGATGGATCCACCACACCAAGACCACCACCAGCCTGAACCGTTGATACAAGGCAGGATGGATCCCCCACACCATGACACCACCAGCCTGAACCACTGATACAAGGCAGGATGGATCCCCCACACCATGACACCACCAGCCTGAACCGTTGATACAAGGCAGGATGGATCCACCACACTATGCCACCACCACCACCACCAGCCTGAACCATGGATACAAGGCAGGATGGATCCACCACACCAAGACACCACCAGCCTGAACCGCTGATACAAGGCAGGATGGATCCACCACACCAAGACACCACCACCACCAGCCTGGACCGTTGATACAAGGCAGGATGGATC